CCAGAATTCCCCAGCCAGCATTCGCTGGCTGGGGAATTCTGGGAGTTGAAGTCCAGACATCTTCAAGTGGCCAAGGTTGAGAAACACTGCCCTAAAGACCTTTTTCTGAGGTGGTGTGTAAAGCATGTGGTCTGCCACATGTCAGGGTGATAGAATAACAGAGCTGTTGAAGGGGCCTTGGAGGTCTTCTAGTCCAGCCCCCTGTTCAAGCAGGTGATCTACACCACTTCAGATAAATGATTGTGGTCAATGATTGCTTCTTAAAAGCCTCTAGGGATGGAGCACCCACAACTTTTATTGATACTTATTGATCAGTTATACTGATTAATTGTTCTGTCAGGAAATTTCTTCTAAGTTGCTTCTCTCCTTGATTTTCATCATGCTTCTTGTCCTGCCTTCTGGTGGTTTGGAGAATAGTTTGACTCCCTCTTCTTTGGGGCAGGCCCTCAAATATTGGAAGACTGCTATGCCAACCCTAATCCTTCTCTTTGTTAAACTACAGATACCCAATTCCTGCACCGTTTGCCTTCAGTCCCCTAATTATCTTTGTTGCTCTTCTAGGTCTTCTAAGTCCAACTCTCTGCTCAAGCAAGGACATCTTGTGCCATTTCAGACAAATGTCCAATCTTGTAAAAAACCTCCAGTGTTGGAGCACCACAAGACTGCTCCCCAAGGGGGTTATTCCTTATCATATAAATACGGTTGGCTCAATGGAAGGTTACTTTATCTTTAGCAGATTTCAACGCATTTGATCAAGATTTTTTTTGTATCCACATTCGTGCTTTTAAAAAAACGCCATCCTTATACAGCCTCCTGAAACCATCCAAATCAGGGACTCTTGAACAGCAAAAAGTGACAAAGAAGCTGATTTGTTTAGAAATGAACTGTAGTAAAAATGCAGAACATTTCATTTTGAGCCTGGTGAATCCTGCAAAAATCCCATTTCTAGTATAAAATTGAATGTTTTGAGCATTTTGGGATTTGTACTTTGAAACTGAGTGTCTCATGGAACCATTTTGAGATTAAACTTTTTCACACGTCTGCAGTGCATCGTTTTTGTTCTCAACTAAAATTCACAATCTAGTGATTTCTAATCTTTATTTCAGCAGGTTGATTGATACACATGCTGCCAAATAGACACCCAGCCATTTTTCACTAATACTATGAAGCACTTAGATGATTAAAAAAGAAAATAACTTCAGTGGTTTAGATTTTAAGGATGAGGCGGCCCAACAAATTCAAATCATGAAATATCTTTCAAGATAGTATAACAAATAAAACTACCTAATCATTGCACAGTGAAATGCTGATGGAAGACTCATTTATCAACGAATCCAAATACTTACAACTAATTATATGCAATAAATATACAGGTAGTCTTATCCTGGGATAAACATATTTGCCTTGATTTGTGAAAATCAGTGATGCTGGCTGGAAGTTACAAACCATGGTTGCATATTACACTTAACAGCCATGGGTGATTCACTTTATGGCTGCTGCTGGAATTGACAGTAAGTGGGCCCAGTCACGTTTCGCTTAACTATCACATTGCTTAGCAATGGGAGTTTGCAGTCCCAATTACTCAGTAAGGACTGTAACATCTGGCTAACTGTAGATATTTTAGATCATGTGTGTCCAACCTTTTGGCTTCCTTGGGCCTCATTGAGTCAACAATTGCCTTGTGCTACCTATAAAATATACTTTATGTATATAAAAATATAAACTCTACTCAATTTTGTGTGCTTGCAGTTGTCCAGGGTTTCGTGTGGGCCGTGGGCTGGAACCGCCTATTCTAGATGGTGAGAAAAATTAAGACCCCACGTATTTTTTGTTCCACAGAACGTTAAAAATCAGCCCAAACAAAAGAAAATGACTACCCTTCCCCCAAAGGAAATTGATGACAGTGAAGAAGAGGAGTCATCAGAAGAAGAGGAGAGCAGCGAGGAAGAGGTGAGAACCATTGTGGTGTGGTGTGGTGGTGAAGGTGATGCACTGGGAGCAGAGATCTGAGTTCTGTTTCAGCCTCAGCCATGGGAGTCATTTGGGAGACTTGCTGTGTCTCCCAATTCAATCTTCTGCACAAGAGGCATTAATGTGACGATAATAAGACAGAGTGCTCTGAACACAACTTTGAGCTCCCAAACGATCTTTGCCTTAAATCACCCATTTCACGTTATATTAGAAACACAGTTGGAATGGAAAGCTGCTCCTGTTTTCATCGTGCCTCCTCCCCATGTAACTTGGAACACATGGAATCTGATAAAAGCACATAGGTAGTTCTCAATGATCATAAGTGGGGTTGGAAGTCCAGGCATCCAAATAGCCTGAAGTAATTTTCTGACTTTTTTTGTGATAGAATAGAATTTTATTATTTGTATGCCGCCCTTCTCCGGGAGGACTCAGGGCGGCGAACAATTC